CATCAATAGCTGCTTCTTATAGTAGCTTACTAACGTGGTACTTCTAGTTCTGATTTGAATAAATCTAAACAACTTAAAATCATTCTCTGAAATTCACTATTGGCTGCTCTTAGTTCTCGTTGCGTACATCATATCTTCTTGTCATCTGCATGAGTTGTACGAAATCACATCTTCGGTAATAACAAACGTTTCTGATTCCTAGGTATTTTACCCTTAGGCTCTTTTATCTCCAAAACTATAGTGACCAATGTTAGGGTCTGATATCTGAACTATCACCATCCAACTTGTGGCTCCATTTCCAAGAATTAAATGAAGTTGTTCTAGGAGGTAAAACACATACGAGTACACTGCCATGTACAAACTTATCCTTCAAAGTATACCATCATGTACAAAGTTGTCATTCACTCACAATAGTTAGTCTCGCTAAGTGAATCAAATTGTACCTCTACTAGCTCTACTGAAATTGCTAATTCACTGTATCAACTCAAAACTTACTTATTATTCTCTTACTAAACACCTACTAGAATCACGTTTTCTTTTTCTACTTCGGATAACTAATGTGAGGAATAAGGTTATTTCTAACTTCCCTCATCATACGACCCTATTCTATGGTCGCATACTATCCCCTTTTTTTTCTAAACTATGTGCATAGATCACACTTAGGGAATTCATCTGTCTTAAACCAAATTAGAATATCTAACCCCAAACTTTCTATATAATACAAAATCATATCATACTATAAACATCTGCGGTAATCACTTAGTCGCATAACCTAAGGGGGAACTGCCATATCTTTTATGTTACATCAATAGCTACTTCTTATAGTAGCTTACTAACGTGGTACTTCTAGTTCTGATTTGAATAAATCTAAATAACTTAAAATCTTTCTCTGAAATTCACTATTGGCTGCTCTTAGTTCTAATTGCATACATCATATCTTCTAGTCATTTGCATGAGTTGTACGAAATCACATCTTTGGTAATAACAAACGTTTCTGATTCCTAGGTATTTTATCCTTAGGCTCTTTTATGTCTAAAACTATAGTGACCAATTTTAGGGTCTGATATCTAAACTATCACCATCCAACTTGTGGCTCCATTTCCAAGAATTAAATGAAGTTGTTCTAGGAGGTAAAACACATACGAGTACACTACCATGTACAAACTTATCCTTCAAAGTATACCATCATCTGATAAATCACTTCTTGCGCCATCCAGTGAGTCTTGGTCTTAATCCAGACCTAAAATATGCGAAGATTTCGCTACAATCACTGTTACTTGCATTTTCTTTTAGCACCCATAGGCCTTACTGTATACTCACCAGTCACCAGAATTTTGATACACTGAAAATTGGAGATCTGGCAACTGAATAGCTGATAACTGGTATCCTGAATAACCATAAACTTGCTAACTGAAAGATTGTGTAACTGGTAACTGAGATTAACTGATAACCATAAGACATGATAATTGCTTTTGTACTTTCTGATAAGGTTATGCTCTAATCTGTACTACTATCCATTGCATCCCACTTTTAACATCTTCTCAAGTCTCATATTTACCAACTTGTACTCCATAATTATACCCCAATGGGCAAGTATCCTCTCTAGGACCGTAGGTTTCTCCTGCGCGTCGCTTGGGCATCCAATACGTTTGCAATTCGATAGCAAGAGAAGGTTAACTATTTCTCTAAGCTTCATGGCACAATCTAGAGTAGAAATAAATGAGACTATTCTGGATGTCTTGGTAGTAAACCGTTTATATGAGTGGCCGGCACACACATATAAAGGAAACTCCACTAGACACTCCACTCTTGAACATAGTGCTCTGATAGCAAGCTTTGTCACGCCCCGAACCTGGGCCTGGACGTAACAAGGCACTCGGTGCTTGACTACATGTGATCGAGCGAACCAACTGGCTGGCTGAATCAGCATGTGGTATCATAACATACTGAATGCGGAAGATAAACTGACACATGTTGATATACTGAAAGTCTGGATGATATAAATCAAAGTGTGGAAATACTAATACAATTCTGAAATATATTTGTAACCAACATGGCTTAATATAAAAAGCCTGCGACTCTATCTAGCTGTTACTCTAGTCTATGAAGCCTCTAATGAAGTACTGAAAACACTGACTGTTTGAACATACTGAAGACTATAGTAAAGATAATGCCCCGAAAGAACTAGGGATCACCAAATAGCTGGTACGAGAATCCTAGCGCTCTGAATCATCAACCTGTAAATCATTACCTGCATCGTGAGATGCAGGCCCCGGGCAAAAAGGACGTCAGAACATTTGAATTGCACTGGTATGTATAGCAACTGAAGGAAAGAACTATAAATGCTGAAACTGAAACTAAGTTGATAATTGAGAATTGATAATTGATACTGAAATGATAACTATTGAAACAGAACTGAAACGATAGCTGATAACTGATAACTAAAATGATAACTGATAACTGATAACTGAAATGATAATTGATAACTGATAACTGATAACTGAACTAATAATTGATAACTGAAATAATAACTGATAACTGAAATGATAACCGCTAGCTGGAATGATACCTGATAACTGAACTGAACAAAGGAAGTAAGGATATGAATACTCCCTCTTCTGAATGATGAACAACCTGTTTATCTGAATAAGCTACGCCCTCGGGCCCAATATATATGTACACAAGCTACGGCCTCTAGCCCAAGTATACGTAGACATAACTACGGCCTCAGGCCCAAAAATGCTAAGCATAAACTACGGCCTCAGGCCCAAGTATGCATAAAGCATTTAAACTACGGCCTCAGGCCCAAATACAGGTGTTCAACCTCCAGGAACTGAGAATTAAACTACAATGCATGATAGTGAAATACTGAATCACACTGAGTTACACGATACTGGAATATTGGATCACACTGAGTTACATAATACTGGAATACTGAATAGGACTAGACTGAGACATGTATTCTTGAACTGATTATGAACACCGAAACTTCAACTGTTTATGGCATACTGAGTAATCTATACTAAGACTCGGGGCATCAAACCCAAGTCTATATTGAATACGCACTGAGCTCACAACGTTCAGAATGAAAGTGGTGAACGAGTTATGAAGCTAGAGAATAGAAGTTCTACAACTATTCAAGGAACTAGGCTTAACTATATTTTTGAGGCAATTGGTAACGTCGTAAAAGAAGCGTAGTGTAGGGAGAATCATTAAAATTCCCAAATATAGAGAGTTAGCCTCACATACCTTAACTTCCTGCTCTTGAGCGTTATACAACATTCGCCAACCCTTTCAACTTTAATCTATATCAATACAAGTCAAAGGGATTCCATATTAGCAATAATTCTCATGTTTTGGTCACTTAAGCATCTTATCAAACACTTGGTGAAAATAAAGCTTCATAGTCTTTATTAATGGTGTCTCTACACCCAATAACCCATTCTCTTGTTCCTACATAAATTCTAAAGTCTCAAATGGTTATAATGAACATTATTCTTTATCACCCATAAGGTAAAAAACACCCTTAACCAATAATCAACAATCAATACCCCAAACCTATAACCGTTCATGTATTTCTATCAAACCCATCAACTCATATCTCATGAAATAGGGTTTATACTCATTAAACTAATGCTACAATCAATAAGAGGGTGAAGACATTACCTTTTTGAAGTTCAAACCCTTTGAATTTGAGTTCTAGGCTTCCTTCTCTCAACAATGATGTCCCATTCGAATATCTAATGATATGGAGGGTTTGCCCATGTTAATAAGATGTTGGGAAGCTGAAATTAACTTAGAATCACCATTAGAACTTACCTTGGGTGGTGGAGGGACCCTTAAGGAGTTAGGTTTTTGAGAGTTCCCCTTTCTAGAGCATATTTTTATGTTCTGGGGCTGTGGGGGACGAAGTAGGGCTTTAAAATGACCCCCCATGAGCGCGCCCGTGCACCTGTAGGCCTGACCGCGCTACTGACCACGCAAAATGGCAGTAACACTGCCTCAAAAGAAGCGCGGCCGCACTCGGGGCGCGCTCAGGGCGTGCATATTGCACACTATTCTGTAAAACGCGCATAACTTTTTGCAAAGAGATCTGTTTTGTCTCCACAATATATCGTTGGAAAGATATTTCAAAGGCCCACAAGTTCCGTGCTTTGAATTTTCCCAAATTCCCTACACATTTTCACTAAAACCTGATGGAAGATAGACCTTTTGCAAACTTAGTCGATTTTGTCAAATCTTATGCACCTCACTTTCCATCTTGATTTTGAAACAACTATTTTCACCCATAGTCATCCCGATTGGACTTCACATGTCCAAAATATAACCTTACTACTCCTTTAACTCATTCATACCTAAGCCGAATTTACGGGGTGTTACAATGCTGAAATACATCATCTCTTAGTTGACATGGAATCAAAAAAGGATGAATTTTTCAATACAAATGAAGAACGGGAACCAAGTGCTAACAGGAATCCCCAGCACAGAGTGCTTTTAGAAGAAGCTAATCAACCCAGCGATTATCATTATGTCCCTGATCCTGGAGAAGGCCAATTTAATAGATTCTCTCCTTCAGGAATGGATCTTGATGAGTACAGGCCAATCCAGTCAGAAGATGAATTAGAATATGGAAGTGTGGACCTGAATGAAGACCAACATTGTGATCTTATCATTAGAGCCTTTAATGGAGATATTGACAAAGACCACACGATAGCTAGTCAAGGTTTGTCACCAAGGCAGATTGGACCTTCACCAAGAATCACTAGAAGTAGGGTTGCTGCTGGCCCTAGTACCATCCAAAAGTCCAAACATTTCTCCATTTCCTGATGATTAGTACAATCATTTGGAATGCAAGAGGCATCAGAACCTCCGGAGCTATTGAAAGGCTCAAACTTCTGAAAAAACTTCACTAACTTTCTTTCATTGTTGTCCTTGAACCTTTCCTTCAATCCAATGCAATTCAACCCAATCACCACAACTACTTCAGACTCCAACTCTCCATGCATAATGCAGCTGCCAATGTCAATAACAAGATTTGGGTTTTTTGGGATCAGGAATCCAGTGGTACTGTGCTAGACCATGATGAACAACAAATGACCATTGAACTCAAACATGTGGAAGCTAATGATCCCTTTCAAGTCACTATTATCCATGCTAAGTGTAAGCCTTCTATGAGAATTCCTATATGGAAAACTTTGAGATTGAAATCCACCAGTTGTTCTGTTCCTTGGTGTGTCATTGGTGAATTTAATGTTATAGCCTCATTTGAAGAGAAGTTTGGTGGGCTCCCATATCAAATGAAGAGGAGCATTGACTTTCTCGGCATGATTGAAGATTGTGGGCTTGTTGACCTTGGTTTCTATGGTCCAAGATACACATGGTCAAATGTTAGAGGCCCCTATTTAATAGTTTGGAAAAGACTGGATAGAGGTATGGTTAATGACAATTGGCTAAGAACCTTTCCTGCCACCACCATTACCCATCTAGCAGCTGCTGGTTCTGACCACTCTCTACTCCTTGTGGAACTTCATGTGAGACAAGAACACAATCATAAGTACTTCAAATTTCTCAATTGCTGAACTGAAAATGAGTCATTCAAACCCTTAGTTCAACAGGTCTGGTCCACACATATTGCTAGCAGTGCTATGTGGATTTTCCACCAGAAATTGAAAACTACCTTTAGGGCATTGAGTTTCCGGTCAAGAGAACAATATGGTGGCATTTTTCAACTACCTAAGGAGTTTGAACAAAAGGTTAAGGAAGTTGAAGAGAAATGGTTAGTAACCAATGATCCTTCTGATAGAGCTGCTCTTCATGACATTCAAGCTCAATATACTAAATATCTGAAGACTGAAGAAGCAGTTCTACGGCAGAAAACACAGCTTCACGGGTTCAAAGATGGAGATGGCAACTCCAGATACTTCATAGCTTAATTAGAGGAAGAAGAAGAAAGTTGTACATTCATAAACTCAAAAATGAGGAAGGAGATTGGATACAAGGGGATGAGGCTATTAGTGAGGTTGCTTGTGAATATTTTGAAGAGATCTTTTCTGAAACATGGGGGTGATAAGAGAAGAACTTCTCAACTATATTCCCAGCATGATCGCCCCTGAAGATAATGCTGAACTCATCAAAGATCCTACCTTACAGGAACTCAAAAAGGTGGTCTTCTCTATGAACCCTAACAGTGCAGCAAGTCCAGATAGAATGAACGGTACATTTTTCCAAGCATGCTGGGAAATAATCAATCACGGCCTTCTCAATGTTGTCCTGGCCTACTTCAGAGGCAGTGTTATGACAAAGTACATGACCAATTCTTGTTTGGTTCTCCTGCCTAAGGTTGAATTTCCAAACTCCTTAACAGAATTCAGACCAATCAGCCTTAGTAACTTCATCAACAAGGTCACTTCCAAAGTCATTTGCACCAGATTAGCCCCCATATTTCTGAGAATATTATGCTTGCACAAGAAATTGTTCGGGGAATTAAAAAGCCAAATACTGATGCCAATGTTGTGATCAAGCTGGATATGGCTAAAGATTATGACCGAGTCTCATGGGATTTCACTTGCATTATGTTGAGAAGAATGGGTTCTGTGAGATTATCATTGACATGATTTGGAGGACAATGTCCAACAATTGGTATTCAATTATTTTCAATGGTACCATACATGGATTTTTTAAGTCTACTAGAGGTTTGAAGTAGGGGGACCCTCTATCCCCTGCCCTTTTTAATATTGGTGTTGAACTCCTATCAAGAATGCTCAACAACCTCACCCATGATCAATTTTTCAATGGTTTCTACATGCAAAAGAGAGGTCCCCAGGTCAACCATCTCAGCTTTGCATATGATATTATCATTTTCACTTCAGGATGCAGATCCTCACTTCTAAAAATCATAAAGATCTTAAGTGATTATGGAATCACCTCTGGGCAGCAGATCAACAAAAGCAAGAGCTATTTCATGGTTCCAGCTTGTGTGTTTCACTACAATATGAGCAGAATTCAACAGATAACAGGCTTCACTAGGAAAGAATCCCCTAACACATACCTTGGCTGCCCTCTCTATCTATTGGCAGGAAGAGGATCATGTACTTAAATGGTTTAATTTCTAAGGTGGTCAACAGGATTAGAGGTTGGCATGGCAACTTACTTTCTTATGGGGGCAGAGTTACTCTAATCAAACATGTAGTTCAATCCCTTCCTATTCATATGCTTTCAGCAGTCTCTCCTCCCAAGACAGTCATGAAGCAGATTGAGAGGCTGGCTGCCGAATTCTTTTGGGGAGTTGATAAGAACAAAAATAAATATCACCGGACTTCATGGTCAAAGATTGCACACCCCCTAAAAGAAGGTGGCATTGGGACAAGATCCATACAAGATGTGTGCAAAGCTATGGAGTTCAAACAGAGGTGGAATTTCAGAACCAAACAGTTCTTGTGGAGCAAATTTCTTATGGCTAAATATTGTCAAAGGTTACACCCCATCTCCAAAAAGTAGGACACAAGGCAATCTCAAGCATGGGAAAAGCTCATGGTCAATAAGAAAGAGGCAGAACAACATATTCGTTGGAGATTACATTCAGGGGAGGTCAGCTTCTGGTGGGACAAATGGCTTGGTACAGGCCCTCTGGCACACCATTGAACTGATGGTGGCAGAGAAGGCAAGATTCCAGTCTCATACTTCTGGGAAACAGGATAGTGGAATATTCAGAGGTTGAATGCTTTAGCTCCTGCACACATGATCCCCCAGATCCTTCTTATTCCCATTCATTTCAATCATCACATACCAGATAAACCTACATGGATACCACACACAAGAGGTAATTTTACCTGTGCATCAATCTGGGAAGTCATTAGAACCAAAAAGCAACATCTCTTCTCCAATTCCAAAGTCCGGCACAAAAAGATCCCATTCAAATGGTCTTTCCGCTTTTGGAGAGTCCTTAGAAATAAACTACCCACTAATGATAGAGTTGTCTCATTTGGCTAGCCTACTGTCACCAGGCGTGTTTGTTGTATCAGACCTCAGAGGGAATCCATTGACCATATATTCAGTAAAGGGCATTTTGTAAGAATAGTTTGGAGGAAATTTTCTGGTATTGCTGGACTGAACACTGATGATCTCCCTCTCAGACTTCTATTTGATGAAATGGTGGCTTCTGAAAGCCAAGAATGCAGTCCACAAGCTCCTGCTTGACACCATTCCAGTTATCATTTGCTAGAATTTTCGGAAGAATAGGTGTGGAGCAAAATATGGCAACAGGAATTCATCTATCACTAGGGTGGTTTTTGCTATTCACTTAGACATCCTTCTTCTTCTCAAGACTAGCTATCCTCGGATCAAATGGCCTCCTAACTGGAATGACATTGTCACCCTGGATGAGAATGTGAAACATGTCACCACCATCACTCAAGTGACATGGGCTAAACCTCAGGTTCAATTTGTGAAAGTGAACTGTGATGGCAGTGCCCTTACAAATCCGGGAAGAATTGGAGCTAGTGTCATTGTCAGGGATCACCATGGCCAATTCATTCATTCCATGGCCTCCCCTCTAGGCAGTAGCACCAATAACTTAGCAGAGACCACTGCTGCTACCATTGGAGTCAACTAGTGTATTGAGAATGGTTTCACTAGGATTCACCTAGAGGTTGACTCGGCTCTTTTGGTACATTGGGTAAACAACACATCCAATCCTCCATGGAATATTCAGATGCAAATTCAATAGTTGCAACAACTCTGCCAATAGTGTGAGGAAATCAGATGCACACACACATTCAGGGAAGCAAATTGCCATGCTGACTCTTTGTCCAAACTTAGCCATGATCTCCCACAGCTTACCCATTTCAACAATATTCTGGACCTCCATTCCCAGATCAGAGGCCAGATTATATTGGACCAAATGGGCACCCCATCCTTCGGGTACAAAAAGGCAGCCACCATACAAATTCCTTCAAGCATCACCACCAACATCACTTCATCCAATGGCTATGGATGATCACCACAAATATCTAGGAGCTGACCTAATAGTCCAAAGGAAATCAGAGCTTTCAGCACACTATCAGCACCACAATAGAAGAACTATCATGATAGTACAGGAATTTTTAGCTAACCTTTTTCTCTTTTTTGCAGGAATAGCTTAAATGTCTACATCATTGGTGGAAATCCAACGTGTGGTATTAGCATTCTTGATGCTCATTCTATTGGATATCCTCAATGTAGATGGACATTTCCTGCTACTTCAACTGGAATTCACCACCTCCAATCACTACCAATAACACCCCAATCACACTCACAGAAATCCATTCAAGCAAGATGACATACACTAACCCACATACACATACACATAAAGTGCATCTCCATACCACAACACCTCCCACATTCCATCATACTTACAAGCAAGTTCATCACCCCCCCCCCCCTGAACATCTCACTCAAAGCTCCAGTACACACAATAACCTGGCACCAGCAGCTGGATGCAGCATCACCACCTCTCACCATTTTCTGGGACCCAGAACACATAAGAACCTGGGCACTAAGGCTGAAAACTCCAGCATTGGGTTGGGATCATTTCACACTATCAACACCCTACCCATCACAACTCCCAGAACACACAAGAACCTAGGAGCAGGTTTTTATCTAACTGGTTTGTTTTCCTTTGCATGTATAATGGCTATATCCGAATTGTTGATGCACTTGCAAGGTGTGGTACTAACATCTCTGCTGTTTAATCTCTTGAGAGTGCATCAACTTTCTTGGGCATGCTGAAGAACCAATGTCACCTTGGCAGAAATACAGTCATGCATAGCTCACAGGACCCGTCAAAAAATGCACACTAGCAGTCACAAAATCACCAGCAAGAGCATTAATTTAGCTCAGCATTGCACACCCCAGAAATACATAGTCAAGCTCCCAGTACCTAGAAGTTCACCACAACAGCTTCAATTCTAGATACAAGTTGCAGACCATCAGCGGGACTTTTCTAGGGGCACAGACCTAGCTTTCATTCTCTCTTTTTTCACATGTTCTCACCAACAGCAACCCATTCCTGGCTCCAGCATCTTCAGCAGTCAGATGTCATCACCCTCACATACATGCCTAGAGAGCATCTGTATAATAGATGTACACTACTGCTCACTTTCCTCTGTCAGAAACAATAGACAGCAACAGCTTAATAGCCCAGCTCATTGGGTCCTTTTGATTCCTATCTTCAATTTGGATTTCTTTGATCTCAGTGTCAAAGCAAAGTTGAAGATAGCACCTCCTTCAGACTCACATTTTTTGTTAGCTTCCATTGGAGGCTTCACCTATCTCAGATGTAGCACACTTATCTGCTTAGTAGATTTAGGATCATTTGTACTCCTTTGTATAGTTGACCTAGGTACACTAAACTACGTTTTTGTATATCCAACTGTCTATCACAGTCATATAGACAATTGGAATTTTCATATAGGTCTAACATCACATAGTTGTTTAGGTACATTTGACTATCAGTTTGTGATGATCAAGTGTACAATCATTTTTTGGGAGGTAAGATTTATGTCCCCCTCCATTGTTGTACTTTACTTTACATTTATGAAAATTAACCTTAGGCACAATGCCTAGTGGATTTGCAAAAAAAAAATCAATAAAATCACAAGAGAGTCAAGAATACTTACCCAATTCACGTGGTAAAATTTCTCTACCAAGACGCCCAAGAGCGAGCTCCAAATCTCAAAATATTATAAAAAGAACCAAGGCCTTGAATAAAAATAGAATCTGCCCAGCCCTTTCGCTTCTGCGAATAATTGAGCCACTTCTGCGACCTTGCTTCTGCGACGTGAAGCCCGCTTCTGCGGAATAAGCTAGAAAAATGGCCCTTCGCACCTGCGGAAAACATCCTCTCCTGCGCAAATCGCAGGTGCAACAACTAAACGAGCATCTGCGCATAAGACGC